CCCCCCCCCCCCCCCCCCCCACAGAGGTGATCCCCACCGACAAGGTGGAGGTCGGCTTCAAAGACATCGACGCCGCCATCTTGGTGGGCTCCATGCCCAGGAAGGAGGGCATGGAGAGGAAGGACCTGCTGAAGGCCAACGTGGCCATCTTCAAGACTCAGGGAGCCGCCCTGGACAAGTTCGCCAACAAGACCGTCAAGGTGACGTCCGAGTCCTCCATTTTATTTCATGTCCTCTAATTATCATTGATGAGTCATCGGTTGTCCTGGAGGGTTCTTTGTCTCGGGGCTTTCTGGGATTTGTAGTTCAAACACGGGGACATTAAAGCGCTTATTCAGCATTTCTTTTTTTTTTTTTTTTTTAGAACACTTTCCTTTTAACAGAGCGAGCTGTTTCTCTGCGGCCGCTTTAACTCTTACAGCAGCTTTATGTTTCTGGAGAAGAACAGCAGCCCGACAACGTTCCTCTGTGTGCTTTCAGTCATTTTTAGTGTAAGTGCGGAGAGAATGTTCAATATTAGATTTAGATCAACTTGAGACGAAGGATGCATCAAAGGTTCACTCGCACCGTAGCTTCAGAGGCTTTGTGGAGATGATGTTTCTTATTCTTTTATTTCAGCGTTACAGAATGTCTTGACTTCATACATCACCTGGCTGCCGACCCGTGTGACCCCGTCAGTCTGACGGAGCGGTTTTTTCATTTCAATGTGTTTCAGGTTGTGGTGGTTGGAAACCCGGCGAACACCAACTGTCTGATCGCCTCCAAGTCTGCTCCGTCCATCCCCAAAGAGAACTTCTCCTGCCTGACCCGGCTGGACCACAACAGGGCCAGCTCCCAGGTACACACACGGACACCAACACACACGGACACACACACACACACACACACAGACACACACGCACGCATAGACACACAAACACACACGCACGGACACAAACGCACAAACACACACGCACGCACGCATAGACACACAAACACACACGCACGGACACAAACACACACACGCACGGACACACAAACACACACGGACACACGCACGCATAGACACACAAACACACATGCACGGACACACACACACACACACACGCACGGACACACACGGACACCAACGCACACAAACACACACACGGACACCAACACACACGGACACCAACACACACGGACACACGCACGCATAGACACACAAACACACACACGCACGGACACACAAACACACACGGACACAAACGCACACGGACACACACACGCACGCATAGACACACAAACACACACGCACGGACACAAACACACACACACACACACGCACGGACACAAACACACACACGCACGCATAGACACACAAACACACACGGACACAAACACAAACGCGCACGGACACAAACGCACGCGCACGGACACAAACGCACGCGCACGGACACAAACGCACACGCACGGACACAAACACACACATGCATGGACACAAACACACGCACACAAACACACACGCACGGACACAAACACACACGCACGGACACACGCACGGACACAAACAGACACGCATAACATTTGTTTCCAGCGAGAGATATTAACGACTTTATTTAGAGACTTTGCTGTCGCTGCTCTAGAAACAATATTTAGTTATATTTAAATTACAAATCTAATTCTCTTCTGAATCTATTTGTTTTTAAAATACAATGTATGACTGGTGAGCCGAGCGTCACGGTGTCTGCTACCTCACCACTAGATGTCACTAAATCGTACACACTGTTCCTTTAAATGTTTATTCCATTAATGATTGTTTGCCATTAATTATCACCAATAGGTCATATACTTTATCCGTTATTACTGAGTGACGCTGCTGCTGCTGTCTGTCGCTGTCCTGCAGGTGGCGATGCGTTGCGGCGTGTCCGCTGACAAAGTGAAGAACGTGATCATCTGGGGGAACCACTCCTCCACCCAGTACCCCGACGTCCACCACGCCAAGGTCCACGTGAACGGCGCCGAGAAGGCCGCGTACGACGCCGTGAAGGACGAAGCCTGGCTCGGAGGAGCCTTCATCTCTGTGAGCGCTCGCTGTTAGAAACATGAAGAGCTACAATTCTTTTGGTAGTTTCTGTCTTCTTCTCAAACCGTCTCCTCTCCCTCTACGTCCTGCAGACGGTGCAGCTGCGCGGCGCAGCCGTCATCAAAGCCAGGAAGCTGTCCAGCGCCATGTCTGCCGCCAAGGCCATCTGCGACCACGTGAGGGACATCTGGTTCGGCACCAAGGAGGTCAGTGTGGACGGAGAGACGGCGAACACGATGGTTCAGTCTCACAGGGATAAGCGTTGTAGCACGTTTCTCCAGGCTTCTGGAAAGTTCTTAAAAAGTGTAACATGTAGCCAGAAGACACACCAAATCAGCTGCACAGTGTCTGATATGTATCGTTGCTGCAGGTTGTTGTTGTTGTTGTTGTTGATTCAGACTGACTGAAGTTGTTGTTGTGTTTCCTGTCGACAGGGTGAGTTCATCTCCATGGGCGTGTACGCTGCCGGAAACTCCTACGGCATCCCAGAGGACCTCATCTACTCCTTCCCCATCGAGATCAAGGTGGGTTCAACCAATCGGCTGCAGCCGTAGGCGCTGATGTCACAGCGTTCATCGTGGTTGGCAGCGGTGTGTGAGAATAACAGCTCACGGTGTGTGTGTGTGTGTGTGGGGAAGTAACGGATCCAGGTCAAATCTAGTGTTCCCTGAAGGCACGGAGATCAGATCAGCACAAAAGAAAGAAGAGAGCAAGTCTAACTTTCAGAGATCCCTGATACCAATAGCCCTCTGACCTTTCCCCTCACAGAACAAGACCTGGAAAATGGTCGACGGACTCTCCATCAACGACTTCTCCCGCGGCAAGATGGACGCCACAGCGGCCGAGCTGGTGGAGGAGCGAGACACCGCCCTGGACTTCCTGTCCCAGTGACGGTCACCTGCTGGCCAACAGCAGCACTTAGATCTCCCGAAAGCTCGCTGCTCGCGGCTCTGACCAGGAAGAAGAAGCCCTCCACTCCTATTAACCGTCCCAGTGTGTCACCTCTCTGTGTGTTTGTGTCTCTCGGCCACCTTATCAGTTTATCAGAACACCTGTTTAACCACCACAACCTGGCCTCCTCCGTCTGCAAGGCACCGGGAGAATGTCTGTCGGTAGATGATAACACACTCTAGCTGCCCAGAAACTGTAACGGAAACATGTTATCACCAATAAAACAACAAGGAAACTGAAAGACAGATGTCACGTTCATGCGTCTTTGATGTTCAGAAGTCTCATTATAGGAAACTTATCAGACGTTCTTGTATTGGACGTCACGATGAAAACCCCACAGAGGGGTCTACAACGAGTGTTCTGTCCTCAAATAGTGAAGCCCTACTGGCCCTACACCATCAGAGAAAGTTTGTTGCAGATATTTGGTACATATAAACTGGAGCCTCCTCTATGTTTTGTATGATCCGGGCTTCAGATCTCGTTTGGCATGGACTCTGATATGAGATTTAACTATTAAAGTACATTCAGCACGCGCATGTCCTGATGAGGCAGACTACACAGTGTTGATGCTTTCTACCAACGTCTCAAATGAGGATTCAGTGGGATTTGAATTCAACACAAATACTGAAGTCAGTCAGAAGTGATTTCTATTACGTCCTCCAGTGTTTTACAGTGGATCATTGTAACCACATGGGGGCAGCACTGAGCCGAACTGAACACAAATAGAAACCTGAGTGGGTTTGTTGGTGATCCTCAATTGTTTTTTATACGTAATCTCAGGAGTTTCAGGACATTTAGGCTCAATAACAGGTTAGTATGTCCTGTACAAAGATATATATATATATGTATATGTAGGTACAGGTGAAGTGGTACAAACTTAAAGTTGAATCAGTTATATTAATACAAATGGTTGAATTTTCATTTGAACAAACATGGATTAAGTCCAAATTCGATGCAATTGAAAAGAAAATGAATAAAATGGACTTAAAACTAAATGAAACTGCCGTAAAATGTTACGAAATAGAGTAAAATGTATTAAAAACGTAAAAAATAGACCATCCTGGGTGGACGGGGCATGTTGTCTACTCCCTCTGATTGACGGGCGTCTTCCACCAATCACCGTTTTCGAGCACATTACGTCACTTGCGTTCCGTGACGTACTAGGCAGGCTGTCAGCTGTAGAGGCTCAACTGCAGCACGAGGAGGAAGAAGAGGAAGAAGAAGAAGCTGCAGCGATTTTTAACGGTTTCGTTCGACTTTTTGTTTGTTACGAAGACTCCGGGTCTGACCTGTAGTGTGAAAGGTAGTCTGTCCCGGTCTGAGGTTGTCAGCCGTGTTTCTGAAGCTCTCCCGGTACTTGGACAGTGTGTTCAGGTGGGTAACTTAATAGCTTCGCGAGACAGACCTGCTCGTGCACGAAAAGTTTGTCCAAAAAACATGTGTTGTCTGCAGGTTTGGGGGGAAATTTAATGCACATTCAAAGCATTAAAACCCAAAACATGTCTGACCAGCTGGCATGAACCTGCTTCTGCACTGTGTGTGTGTGTGTGTGTGTGTGTGTGTGTGTGTCAGAGAGACACCAAGAAATTACCACACAGAAAAACAAGTTCTCACAAATACTCAAAAATATGCAAAGATACATGGTATCAAAATATCTAAATATAAGCACAAAGATTAGTATTCATATATAAACTAGCATATATTGTAATAATACATGAATTAACTTTATATAATATTACTTTCAGTGGTGGAAGAAGTATTCTTCAACTTAAGTATTAAGTATTATCGGCAAAATGTACATAAAGTATGAAAAGAAGAAGTACCCACTATGGAAGTGAAATGTTGCATATATACTATGATATATGATGTTTCTGGATTAATACTACGGCTGCATTAATGTGCGTGTTAGATGTTTAAGTTTAACTAGGAGATGAACTGTACTCTGTAAAGAGACTAAAGCTGTCGGGTACATTGAGTGGAATAATAATGACAGTATTTACCTCTGAGATGTAGTCGAGTACAAGTACAAAGCTGCATACAATGGAAATGGGTACAGCAAGTACCTTGAATTGTCAGTACTTGAGTAAATCTACTTAGTTACAATCCACCACAAATTACTTCCTTTCTAAACAATATTGCAAAGTGCTTTACAAGAAATCCACGGCGATACAAAACGACTTGAATTGAATAGAAGATAAAATAAATATGTGAAATAAGTTAATAAATGGCAACAAAACAAACAATGAAAAGGTAAGTAGTCCGAGGAACCGAGTCAGGAAGACATTAGTTACTTTAGAGTCATTTAATTTATTTGAATGATTTGAGAAGAAGTCGTTGGCAATGAAAATCAGGCTCCTCAAACAAATATGTATATACACAAAATGTAAAAATCTGGATCTAAGACATAAAATAGTACAGAAGTTAAATATCTATAAAGATATAATTACTATAAAATCAACTATTTATATGTTTGGGCACATTAATTGCAAAGTGAATTAACTGATGTAAACAGGAATGTAGTGAACGTAAATGCGTCACGAGAGATGGATTAAAGTGGCGTCTGTGAATTTGAGAAGTAAACTTTATAACTTTATGATCCTTATCCAGTCTGCTGTATAACTTTTCAGCTCACGCACCAACGGCCCATCGAGGTTTCCTTCACCGCTCTGTGATGACTGTAAATCTATTTCTAAAGACTCAGAATAAGCAATGAGTCACAGTTACACACTCACTGAGGAGGTTATGTTGCATGTAAGCCACACGTGATAATAGAGAATACACTTTCAAGTACAATCAAGTCAATAAATGTACAATTAACAGAGTTAAACTACTGTTATCTGTTATCTACATGAAAAATACCATCCCACAGACTGTTCTGAGGGATGTCGGACAAGAAATAAACTCCCCCCCCCCCCCCCACACACACACACACACACTATAAATACATTTACTGGATCAACACTCAAGGTTTCATACATTTATTTTCAAGTACAGTTGCAATTTTAGGGTCAAAACAAGTGCTTTTCGTGGTACTGCTGTATGATGCAGCAACTTTCACTGATACTGGAACATTTGTCCCGGCTTTACTAAACTAGAGCATCAAACATCTGTTTTATGTATTACTGATATATACGATATATGTCTGATTGTACTGGGGATTGTAGGGAAGCTTTTTTAAATGACAGATCAAAGATATGAAGTTATTTGTAGTTGTTTTTATTGGTGAAATGCTTAATCCAGTGATGGTTTGCAGTTAGGCCAAGGTGTCGTCACTTTGATGCCTTTGTTTCAGAACTGACATTAAAAGTATTATTTTTAATACTTTAGGAAATATAAACGTAGTTTTTCTACAAAACTTTCCATTGAACAAAATAAGCCGAAACGTGTCGTGTATAGTACAGTTTAAATCGTCAACATTTTAATTTAAATCTTGAAGTTTAGTCTAACAACACTATGAACAACACGAGGCATCCGATGTCAGCTTTGACAGGTCTTGACAGTTTTCGAGTCACAGAATGTTCTCTGTTGCTACCGTTTAACATATTTGGGCTGTGATACCCAGCAAGAAATATTGTACCTTGTTTTTCTTCTTCTTACCACCTTGGAAACCGCTCAAAAATTCAACACTGTGTGAAAACTTTGATTGTCAACTCTCAAAAGCAGATGACAATTGGGCCAAATTTGCTTCAGAACTACACTAAATAAAACACATGTAGTGTTTTTAAGGCCGCTACTACACTTTATTCATTATCAATTTATCATTCAATTATATTTTAATGACTTATTTAGTCAAAGAAATGTCAGAAGACAGTGAAAAACGGCCATCGCAAGTTCTCAGGACCCAAAATATTTAGCTTTGTCTGACGAACAGTTTACGTTACAAAATAGTGAAAAGCAGATCATCATCACCAGAGGTGAGAGAAGGAATTTTACCTCAAAGACACATAGTTTGAAATTCCGAGCATATCTCAGATTGAGGGATTGCCTCCACATGGCTCTCAACATGTCCGCGGTTGAGCTGGCGGCTTGCTGCTAACAGTGCTAACAGCGCTAACAACGGACACACAGTGCGGACAGAGCCACGGGTGAACCGGGGTCACATTCATCACATATGAAGCTGGTGTTTCAGAATACATGAAAGAAAATGTAATGAATTAAACTGTTATTAATTGATTGTCTGTCAACTAATTGATTAACCAACTTATTGTTTCAGCACTAATTGTTTTCTTGATTGTGTTTCAAACCCAAACTGGTGTGTGTGTGTGTGTGTGTGTGTGGCTGTGGCTGTGGGCAGAACAAATACACGCACACACACCCTGGCTTTGTGTGATTGGTGTGTGTGTGTGTGTGTGTGTGTGGCTGTGGGCAGGCCTTGTGTGGAGCTCAGGGTCGGAGCTGCAGGTCTGTGAGCTTCCTCTGAGCTGAGGATGAGGAAGACGTCCGTTGTTCTCTGACAGCTGTCTGCCGTTAGTGTTTTTATCTTTGGGACCATTTTCCAGGTTTTAAAAGCTGCTTCGCCTCCACAGATCGTATCATTACTGCCTCTCGTTTGTAAGCAGACGGGGGTAAAATGTCTCGTTTAACTGTAGCTGGTAAGTTTACGTCCACATTGTTTAGCCGTGGTTTTGGGACGTTTTAGTGTGTGTGTGTGTGTGTGTGTTTGTGTGTGTGTGTGTGTGTTTTTGTCTTTTCCCAGATGTTACCGTCGGGCTTTCTGACTTGGTGTATTATATAAACAATATTTAAGAGCTTAAAGTATAAAATGCTTTTGGTTGAAGAAAGGTTTCCTGTTAAATTTATCATAAAATATATGAAAACTATTTTATCCTCAAAATTCTGAGGAACGTTTACGTCGTTGAACTCCAGAAACGGAAACAAGGAGTTAAATTACTCAGCAGTTGATTTCAGATAGCAGCTTTAATTGTTTAATAATTCGTTTAATATAACAATAATAGTAATAAAAGCATGTTAAATATTAAGGTGGACTAGTGTAGTTACTCTGTAAGAAGACGTTTGTTATTGAGTGAATTGTTGCTGATGTGTTTACGTACAAACTGAAACAAATTTGAGTTTCAAATAATATAAATACTTGAACGGTGACCGTTAATTACAAAGATAATAATGTCAGCCTGTATATTGAGATGTTAAAGATACAAAGATTTCACTTCATATATTTTGTACTAAAGTACGATTTCAGGACCTGAACCAGACCAGATTAGTTCAAGGTCAGTTCAGAAACATTTAGAATCAGCTGCACATATTTAACAGTTTGACCATTTTCATGTGAGAAAATGAAAAGTAATGTGTGTCACATATTCAAACCACAGAGACCTGACGCCCAGGTTATTTTATTTTCCATTGTGTGTGTTGATAGATGTTAAACTGCACGATACTGTTCTGTGCAAGTTGATTCTTCACTGTCAGTGTTTGGTCTCTAATGAAAACATAAATCAAACTTACTATCTGTGTGTCTTGCAGACCTGACCAGAGGAGTGATGACGGAGTTCCAGGAGAAGCTCCTTCAGCAGCACGAGGAGTCGATGCACCGCGAGCTGGAGGCGCTGCTCTCGACAGCCAACGAGGCCGAGGTGAGGAGAGCTCCATCTCCTCCCCAAAAATACAAGTTTATACCTGAAACCACACACAGCTGGAATGCTGTCAAAGTGTTTGGCAGACGAAGCTTGAGCTCCCAACAACATTTTACACGTTTCTGTATAAGATCTCGACTTCATTGTAATACTGAGTTTCTGACAAACGTCATCAGAATGTCACCGGGTGTGATAATCATGCACTGAGTCATGGAGACGTCACCCGTTGGTTTGTGGACACTTTGAAGGCTTAAGTTTGGCATTTTGGCCGTCGCCATCTTGGCTTTTTGCAACCAGTGAGCAGAAGTGACGTAGAGACGCTGTATACGTCTCTGGTAACATCTTAAGTGGCATTAAGTCTTATTCAGTTTTAAAGTCTTTGTTGATTTGGGAACCACACATTGTGGTTTTTGGGTCACACGAGGTAACGAGGGTTATGGGCTAATTTATCTCTTACAAATATTTGTGAAGTGTTGCACACAGGGAGTTCAGTCGGTCACCTTATCACACAGATAAAACATAGACTCTGTTGAGAGAGGTGAACAACCCTGAGATCACACACACGCACACACACACGCACATGCTCGTGTAATGCTGCAGTGAATGGGAATATATTGAAGACAAACTACAGATTCAAAATGTAGTCGAGCTGTTTACAGAATCGTCTTCATTGATAATAGCAACCACAATACGAACTAAAATCTCTCAGAAAATCGGATTAAACTTTCAGTTTCAGTTCAGTTTAATTCAGTTAAATCAGACGATTGTCTAAATCAGATCACTTTGTGTTTGTGTGCATGCATTTAAACACAGTCAGCAGGAATCTGGAAATATTCGTCCCTTTGTTCGCCATAATTTCACTTGGAACTGTTCTGTTCATTCTGCAGCATTTGCACAAAGTTTTTGATTAAATGAGAAACTACTCCGTACTTTACCATGTGGTTATTTCATAGACTAGCCTATTTATTTATTGAACTACCAGGATTGAGATATAAACCAGTATTGAGGTTAAGATTTTACCTGCTTTTTAACAACACAACAAAAATATTGAATCGATTTTTGTTCTCACTGTCGCTTCAGTTTGGTTTAGTTGTTCTGATGTTTGGTTTGTTCTCTTTCAGATCTCCAGAAAAGACTTCGATGGCTTCAAGAAGCTGTTCCACAGATTCCTGCAGGTCAAAGGTCCTTCAGTCGACTGGGCCAAGATCAACCGGCCGCCGGAGGACTCGGTAAGCACCAGATACCATGAGTCACACTGTTCCTTCCACCATTGTGGAGCCAAACAGTCGAGACTTGGTAGAGCAGTGACAGGCGGCAGCAGAGCGTAGTGGATGGGCCGGAGCCATTTACAGTATATTAGGTACAAATTAATTTATGGTACATGATCGGCCCGTAATGCTCTTTAATTACATTCCCCACGGTAACAGTTAGTTATATGGAGCAGTGATGGGCTACACACACACACACACACACACACACTCATAGAACAGGAGTAGTGGAGCAGCAGTAAAAGTAGCACATAATGGAAATTATCAAGTGAAGTACAAGTACCTCAAAATTGTACTTGAGTAAATGTACTTCCACCACTGGACAAGAGTGAGCCTTCACGCAGCCTGTGTATTGATTTTTAAATTACAGGAGATTTGTTTCCACCATCGCTCGTGAGACAAAGGGAAAGAAAGAGTCGAGGCGAGTCGAGGCGATGCCGTCAATGAGTGAAATGTACACCAAAGAGATCCAGACATTCATCAACTCTCTGCATCACGTACAAATCCAACTGTAGAGATAAAATAGACTCGACGTGTCCTGATGTAACTCTGTCCTGGAAGCACAGAGATGAAAACGATCCGTCTGATCATCTGACCAGCTAAAATAATGTGGCACTGTTCCAGAAACCAGATCTGAGGACAGAGGACACTCAGGCTAAAGCCAGCTATTTGTCATCATGGGGACATTTCACACACACACACACACACACACACACACACACACACACACACACACTCTGTCCACCCCTCAGTGTTCCCAAAATACCCGAGCCCAGTGAAGGTTAGGACTAAGAATAGTCTTAACCGCCTCAGCTTTCGAAAGTCTAGTTTTAGGGCGGCGAGGTCAGAGAGACGGTGACATTTGTCTCCTGTGGGACTCTGGACACTCACTTGTCTTCATGTCCACCCCTCACCCCCTTATCCCCTTATCCCCTTATTCCCTTATTCCCTCACCCCTCCACTGTTACCTAACTGCTGTTAATAATGACCAGATCCCACAAGACATCGTTATCGTCATGAAGGCTAATCACAGGACATGAAACACTATATCCTGAGTGCACTTATGCAACACACACACACGCACACGCGCACACGCACACACACACACACACACACACACACACACACACACACACACACAC